GAGATATTCGTGGAGTTGAAGTCCACTCATCTTAAAGTGGCCAAGTTTGGACAACACTGGCCTAAAGGAATATCTCCCTCTGACTACCATGCACAGTACTAGTTTTCCAATGGTGGAGTGGAGTGCAACTGAACCCCCTTTCCCACATTTCATCAAATTATCACAATTTTCAAAAATGGACAAGGAAATTCTTCACTTTTATTTGCATGAAGAACTTTGCAGAAAGTTAAATACAGCATATTATTGTTATTATTATTATTATTGCTATTGGCCACTTACTCCAAAATACGAACTTGGCAACTTAGAACATCCAATTATACAATTAAAACAATCAATAAAACTAAAAACCACCATAACAATAAAAACAGGACAGAGCCCTCACAAACACATTAGCTCCAGCTCTGGAAATACAGGCAGGTCTTAAGGGCCTTCCAGAACCTCAAGGGAGTGGGTGCCATATGTATCTCTGGGGGGATGCTGTTCCAGAGGGTGGGGGCAGCAATTGCTCAAAATATGAAATATTCTAGATGAAATATTTCATACCTTTAGATTTTGGTCCACAGCTTTCTTCAGATTTTTCAGCAAATGATTATTTGGACCACCTTCTCTCTCATTGACATAGACAATTCTATCAAGATCAGGGAAATTTCGATTTAGGTCTATTCCCTGTGCATTACTTCGACCAACAAACCAGTCTTTGAGTTCACCTGGCTAAAGAGAAGAAGGAAATATTGTGAAACAGCATGATCATTTCATTATGAACTGTCATGATGAATTTAGAATAATGGCCTGTTTAGTTCTTGTATTCTCAGAAGTTCAAATGCATGGCATACTGGAAACATATGCCAATTATTTTCAATCATCAGTACCTGGTTCTCACTGACATACCAACTCTGAAGACTGAATAATACACACATATTCATTACTCAATTTTGCCATGCTTGGAGAAGACACACTGAAATAAATGGGGTTTAAGTTAATAATGACCAATTGGTGTCTCACTAATTTCAGTGGCTCTACTGTATACATGATCAAGTCTAAATTCCACTCTATCTATTAACTATGTTTGAATGTGATAGGCAAGTTCAACATGCCTAGCTTCTAATTTAAATGTTTGTGCTTCTAAATAGCACAACTAATTAACATCGACAGACCTACTGTATACATAAAACTAACCTGAAAAAGTACATGAGAAAAATACAGCACATGTTTTAAATTTATAGCCCATATGTTGTTGTTGTTGTTGTGGTTGGTTGCACAATCAGCCAGATGTTTAGACTAGATTTGGCATTTTTATCCACCTATTGCGTCCTTCCCAAGGACCTGGGATAGGCAGATGTTGTTGTTTGATGGTGTTAAAGGTATCGTCACAGGATTTAAGCTGTTGCAAGTAAAGATGATGATGATGATGATGATGATGATGATGATGATGATGATGATGATGAT